ATCTTAAAAATGAATTCTGCTCTGGGGCTTCTCAAGATCCCAAAGCCTGCTTCTGGGAGGTCTGCTGTCTGGTATCCTTCAGCCCGCCTGTGTGCAGAGGTGAGGCAGCTTTCATTCAAAGGAGTCCCGTTGCCTCTTCCGTGTTCATATGCCCCATGATGAAGCACACCTGTGAAAGCATATGGCTCTGGGATCAGACAGCAACGTGCAAGAGATGTATTCGAGGAACTTGTCAGAAAGCACCAACTCCAACTCCACTGCTGATAAATTCATTACACAGAAGCTCAGTGCAGAACAAAATATTTACAGAAGGTAGTCTGAAGAGTGTTCAATCCACTTAATCTAAAACAGAGCCTTCTTTTAATCATTCTCAACATCTAAATGTTCAGATCACATTATTTTGCTGCACAGAACTGAATTGTTTTGATGTTATGTTACCAACCAGTACAATGAGGCAAGGTGGGGTTTCACAAAAACACAACCCAGTCTTTTGACGTGCATGCTGTTTCCTAAAGATGGAGCTAAGGAGTTTCTCACTACAGTCTTTGAGAATTCAGAATTTTCTCTTAGCTCACTGAACCACGTAAATGATTACATTTCTCTCTAAACTATTAAAAAGCAAAGCCAAATCTGTGGCCCTCTAACAAATACTTAAGACTTCAGTCCACATACTTTATGTAAAGACTCATTCTTGCTTCCACCTTAATTTCTCTCAGTCTTGAATTCGTCACCCACTTACCTATGTTTGTCACCCTTGTACTTATCTTTGTAAGTCATTACGAATAAGATGTGGTATAAATGTTACGTACCACTTGAAAAAAATTATAGCCCAGTAAGACTTTTGTCTATTAATAAACATTTTATGAATTCAAATTCTAAAGGCATTTTTTTAAGTGCCCCAAAGAGCTTTCTTAAAAAAAAAACAAAACTTTTTTTTTGGATACCGGGGATTGAACTAAGGACCAGCAAGTGCAATTTCCACTGAGCTAAATCCCTGGCCCCTTTACCAAAAAATTTTAAAATTAGAAAATTCTAACAATGATTTACTTAGGGACTACAAAAATAAACATTTCATTATGTATGTTTGAGAATATATAAAAAACTATAAATATTCCCTTAGGCAAATATTTCCCAAAAGTCATTTTTACTTTTAAAATCACTATAAATGCAATTATAATTGAGCATTTACTTGGAATAGGAATTGAGCAGATTGGCTTCAAATGTGGTTCATAAAATTTTAGTATGATTCTTCTGTTATTCTGTGCATGGCACAGAGAACGCCAACACTATTTCTCAAGGTAAGTCAGCATAAAATTTAGAGACCAAAGGCTTTAGCTGCATTCCTACTTCAGGAATTGTAGCAAACTCCTTCCCGTCACTTGGGAAAATAAAAAGCTCAAGACTCAGGGTAGGGGAAGTAGCTCAGGGCTGACATGGTTTAGTAGCACAAAGCAAGGCCTTGAGTTTGAACTCTAGCACCCGCACCCCAAAAAACAAGCCTTTTCTTAAAGCACTTCAGAAGCTTTATATAAACATCAAACAAATAAAATACTAGCTAGATAAAGAGAAGTCAACTGCTTTTCCCCATGTTTAACAATTCAAGGTACTTCAGCCATATGAAATAACATGCATAATGCCTCTACAGTGCTGTATGACAGAGATGAGCATTTAACAAGACTTTCAAAACATTTGGGCCCACAGTTTGTAATAGCTAAAACTTGGAAACAGCCTTGCTGCCCATCACCTGGAGACTGGATAATGATGTGGTTTTTAATAAAATGGAGTACTACTCAGCAACAAAAAATGAGAAACTAGAGACATTTATAGCTAAATGGATGCAAATTGAGGCCATACTCTTAAGTGAAATAAGTAGGACAAATGTGTAAATACCAAATAGTTTCTCTGGTGTGAAAAACTAAAAGTGTAAATAAGGATCAAAGTGTACAATTGATAATTGAAATAGGAAGAAAAGGTCTAAAGGAGTAAGGGAAGTGGGAGGGGTAGGGGAAAGGAAAGAAGCAGAAAGAAAAAAATGACAAAAGGAAACAAAGCCTTTGTAAATAGGGAAGGGGGGAGGGGGTACGAGGGCAGGGGAGTGGGGAAAAAATAAGAACCAGGATACATAGTGTAAAGGTACAAGATCCCAATGATGAATGTATGCCTAAAAAGTACCAATAAACTTAATTTAAAAATGTGTCCCCTACATACTGTGAAACTAATTTTTAGTGTGATAACTTTATTGATGGGCTAATAAGCCACTTAGCACTATTTCTACCCTGGGTCAGGTGTTAGGTTATACAGGCATCTCCTACATTCCAGGGATAGAGCACCTCTGCTGAGATGCTTATAGCCAAAAACATACTTGTGAGAGCCAGTGACACTGATACACACCTGTGATCCCAGCAGTACCAAAGCTGAGCCAGGAGAACCACATGAGCCCAACCAGGGCAATTTAGCCACACTGTGTCTCTAAAAAATAAAAAACTGGCTGGGAGTGTAACTCAATGTAAAGATTCTGGGCTCAAATCTCAGTACCACCAAACAAACAAAAAAAGTGGCAAAAATTAAATTCACAGTTAAGATTAAATTCTACATCTCTAACTACTGATGCAAGTAAATAAAATAGAATCTTGGTTCTTTGTACTGACTGAAAACTTTTTTCATTGAAAATAAACACCTGAATCAAAGAAATCTATTATTCACTTTTTTGGTTTTGGTACCGGGGATCGAACTTGGGACCCTGCACTTGCGACGCAGGCAGCAGAATCACTGACCTAACTCCCTAGACCAAACAAACCCCATATTATTCTCGGGTGGACAGGTACTCAAACACCTGAGAATATCCAAATTGGATTGAGAAAGGAAAGACAAAAAAGTAGTAGAATTTTTGTTTATAGAAGTTTACAGATTAGCAGGTCATACACCTTTACACAAAGAAGCAATTAGCAATTGCATACTCAATTCAATTCAAAGACTTAACAATGAGCAGAAAAGATTAAAATACAAGCTAGTACATAACCAACAGCTAATACTGGTCTTTATCCTTCAGCCACACAGCAGCCTGTGTAAGGCAGCTACATAAAATTTCACTGTAGTCGGGAGTGATTGGAGCGCAAGCCTGAAATTCCAGCACTCCAGAAGCTGAGGCAAGAGGATCTTGGAAGAGGCAAAAGAATTTCAGCAAATTCAAGGTCAGCCTGGGCTATGCAGTGAGTTCAAGGTTAGCCAGGACTACACAATGAGACCCTGTCTCAAAAAACAAATAAACAAAAAAACCCAATAAGTAAACAAATAATTCCGTTTTAAATATACAGTGACGCTGCTCAAAATCCTTCCCTCATTCTGTCACCGAGAGAAAAGCCTAAGCTCCTGCATCTCTGATCTGCCCCGGAATCCCCGCTCCTTACAGTAGTTAGCAGCCTTCTCTCCCTTAGCTGACCCCATCCCCCAATCTCACCTTTGTCCAAAATCCCCAACCCGCTTTGAGTAAGTGTGAATGTTCCTCTTCAAGACACTTTCAGAAAATATTCCCTTATCCTTCTTCCAGCCTCCACACCCAACAGGGAGTGTCCACACAGTCCTTATCAGGTTTGTGAGAAGAATCTTTACTGTCTTCTCCCGAACTAGCTAACTTCTATGACAGTCTCCAAAGTCTGTAAAAATCAAATCCGGAACACTTCTTAACCCTCTGCCTTCATGACAATCAGTAACTTAAATCTGGTGGAGCCTGGGTATAGCTCAGTGGTAGAATGCTTGCCTAGCAAGCACCAAGTTTATTTAATGCTACTTATCATTATATGAATGAGCAATATAATCAAATCTGCTTGAAATTCCAACAAACTTTCTTGGCAGTCTTAACTAGGTCTTTTTTTTAAAAAGTAGTTTTAGGTACACAGTGTAAAAGGTACAACTGTTTTTCTGACCTCTAAAACAAAACAAAACAAAAAATCTCTTTGGCCGGGTGTGGCGGCACACGCCTGTAATCCCAGCACTCGGGAGGCTGAGGCAGGAGTATCGCTGTGAGTTCGAGACCAGGCTGGGCTACATAAGTGAATTCCAGGTCAGCCTCAACTACATAGTGAGACCCTGTCTCAAAAAAACAAAAACAAACAAACAAAAAAAATCTCTTTGCCAAAAATGTATTCCGCAGGTAATTTTTCCAGGTGTAAACTCACCCGGGCAAAATTACACAACTCATCTCAAAGGCAAAACGAGCCTACCGCATCCCCTGACACATTCCCTAACCGCAGCGACAGGTCACCGACTGAGACACCGCCAGCTGTCTATGACCCGGTCTCCTGGGCGTCTGAGATCTTCCTTTTTTCCAGGCAACTTCCGTGACGGGGATTCCCTGGGTTCTCCTCCAAGACGCTTCGGGAGCAAGGACTTCTGCACCCAGCCCCACACCTTCGCCCTCCATCACCCGGTGAAAGTCTTCAAACCCGAGCGGCGAGCACCCTCCCTGCACCTGGACGGGTTGGCGAAGTGCGGGCGCCCCTGCCGCGGAGCAAGCCTCCGTCC